CCCCCCATTCCCTCCATCTCTGCATTCCCATCTGCCCCAAATGTTTCATATGGAATTTGAATGGAAAAGTATGAGCATCAGTATGACACTTCCATAGTGGTAATTATTGAACCTTAGCATTCATTATCAGTGGTTGTGAAAACAAGGAAGTAACATTCATCAAAGGCTGGATCCAAATCAGTTTCTTAAGACAGTACAGTGCAGGAAAGAGAAGACAACTCAGCCTTGTGAATAGAGATCATAAACAGAGATCTGGAGAAGACTGGGCTGTGCTTACAGAGGAACGGGAAGGAAAATGAAGTTCAGGGTCAGTGCAAATCCTGCTATGCTCTCATCATGCAAGCACAAATGTCAAGGCAGAATGCAGGACTATTAAAGCTTCTCACTAAACAGGAATTTTCTTGTCTATATTTATTGGAAAGAGCCTGAGATGGTGAGAAAATCTAAAGCAAATGACTAAAGAAGGATGCAGATATTAAATTCCATCAAGTGCTGACCCATGAAAGACGTAACGATAAAAAGAGGTGGAAAGAAATTGCTTATATTCATTGCTGTACGATCAGAAAGCTTCAATCCTAACGTGAGAAATGTGCAGGTGTGCAGCTCAGAAACACGTGGAATCATAAAACATGTAGGCATCTTCCTTCCATTGGTCAGAGAACTGTGCAGCACAGCTGCAGCTTCTCCCAAGTCTTTACTGCAGGAAGGATTCCGAAAAGACATCAAGAGAAAAAAGAAAGAAAAAAAAAAGCCTCTCCCTTTTCTTCAGGCTTTTTTTTCTTTCTTTTTTTTTTTTTTCCTAAAAACAAAAAGCAAACAAAAGGTACAAAGAAGAGATTTCTGGGGATGGCTGGAATAAACTCCACTCAAGCTCAGCATTCTACACAATGCTTCTGTGTCTTAGGAGTAAATCAGTGGCAAGTTCCAGGCAAGGCCCAGCTGGCCAAGTGCAAGTGCTGGTGACTGACTGAATGAGAAGCTAATTGACTCTCTGCAATTAACTTCCAGTGCTCGTTATCACTGTGATATTTAAGGTACTTGTAAAACTGATGAATCTGTGCTTGTGATTTCTTTTAAGTGATAAAATAAAACAAGTTCCAGATGAGTAGCTGGGTGATAATTATCTGTTAATATTGTTCTACATGTTAATTTTGGTAATGGCTGTATTTTATTAAGGACTAACGAGTCATCTTCAGTGCTTCCAGTCCAGGTGACAAGGAAAAACCCAGCAAAGGACAGTTACAACCCACGGCAGCAGCAGCAGCACAGTGCTTTAGTGCAGTTCTGTTACCAAAAGCCTCCTGAGGAGATGACATTTGGAGATCAGCTGAATGATGTTTGTGGAGCAAGCTCCTCTCGGGAAAATTAAGGAAGCAGAAATGCAAATGCCCAGCACTCGGTTCCTGCAGGCATTTGGAACGCAGTCGGCTTTGCCATTCGTTTACATTCTCATTTTTTCAGGAAAATGGTCGCATTGGTTCCTTACGCCGCTTTCCGTGTCTCCTCCACGCCCACAAAGGCGGCTCCGCACGATCGCGCTCAGCGCGGCTTCCAGCGGCGACGTCACGGAGGGGGGGGTGACGATCGCGGCGGTTATCGGCTGTCGGTTGGCGCCATCAGGCGACAGCAGTCGGTCGGCGCGCAGCCACATGCCTGCTTTCCAGCCTGTCCTGCGGCGTCGCTGCCACTTCGCCGACCAGTGCCGGAGCGTGCGGCTCAGCGGCAGCTGGGGGCGCCCCTACCCAGGTAATGAATGGGCGGCGGGGAGCCGGGGGAGGAGCTGCCGCGCGGAGCCGCGCCGGCGCTCGTCCCCGAAACGCCGCGTCTGCGACCGCGCGTCTGGCAGCCGCCGTCGGGAAGCGGCTCGCGCGGGGCCGGGCTGCGCGGAGCGGCTCCCATCGCGCGGGACGGCCGGCGAGCCGCTGCGGGCACTGGGATGCCGCGGCGGGGGGCTGTGGTTCGCCCGTGCCCGGGTTGACTCGCCGGGAGCGCGTTTTCACAGAATCACAGAATCACCTCTGAAGAATCCTCTTCAGAGGGACCTCGAGAGGCTGGAAAGGTGGGCAGGGTGAACCTGATGAGGTTCAACACGGCAAAGTGCAAAGTTTTGCACTTGGGCCGGAGGAATCCCAGGTTGGAAGGAGCAGTCCTTGAAAGCAGCCCTGTGGAGAAGGACCTGGGGGTCCTGATGGATGAAAAATTTAATATGACCCAACAGTGTGCTCTTGCGGCTCGGAAGGCAAAAGGTATCCTGGGGTCCATCAAAAGAGGGGTGGCCAGCAGGGAGAGGGATGTGATTGTCCCCCTCTACTCTCCTCTTGTGAGGCCCCATCTGCAGCACTGCGTCCAGGTCTGGAGCCCGCAGTACAAAAAAGACAGGGAGCTGTTGGAGTGGGTCCAGAGGAGGGCCACTAGGATGGTCAGGGGACTGGAGCACCTCCCCTATGAGGACAGGCTGAGGGAGCTGGACTTGTTCAGCCTGGAGAAAAGAAGGCTGCGAGGTGACCTCATTGCAGCCTTTCAGTACCTAAAGGGAGCCTACAGAGGGGAGGGGAATCAACTTTGAAAGGGTTGATATGTGTAGGACGAGGGGAAATGGTTTTAAGTTGAGGGAGGGGAGATTTAGGTCGGACATCAGGGCGAAATTCTTTACACAGAGAGTGGTGAGGTACTGGAACAGGCTGCCCAGGGAGGTTGTGGATGCCCCATCCTTGGACGTGTTCAAGGCCAGGTTGGATGGGGCCCTGGGCAGCCTGGTTTAGCATTAAACGTGGAGGTTGGTGGCCCTGCATGTGGCAGGGGGGTTGGAGATTCATGATCCTTGAGGTCCCTTCCAACCCTGGCCATTCTGTGATTCTGTGATTCTGTGATCACAGAATTGTAGGGGTTGGAAGGGACCTCCAGAGATCATCGAGTCCAACCCCCCTGCCAAAGCAGGTTCCCTACAGCAGGTCGCACAGGTCGGCATCCAGGCAGGTCTTGAACATCTCCAGAGAAGGAGACTCCTCCACATCGCTGGCAGGCTGTTCCAGTGCTCCGTCACCTCACTGTACAGCAGTTCCTTCACACATTGGTGCAGAACTTCCTATGCTGCAGTTTCCGGCCGTTTCCCCTTGTCCTGTCTCCACTCACCACTGAAAAGAGTCCGGCCTCGCCATTCTGCCCCCCACACCTCAGATATTTATAGACCTGGATCAGGTCCCCTCTCAGCCTTCTTTTCTCAAGGCTGAACAGACCCAGTTCACTCAGCCTTTCTTCATAGCAGAGATGCTCCAGGCCCCTCACCATCTTGGTGGCCCTCCACTGGACTCTTTCCAAGAGATCCCTGTCTGTTTTGTGCTGGGGAGCCCAGAACTGGACACAGTGCTCCAGATGAGGCCTCAGCAGGGCAGAGCAGAGGGGGAGGATCACCTCCCTCGACCTGCTGGCCACGCTCTTTTTAATGCATCCCAGTATGCCATTGGCCCTCTTGGCCACAAGGGCACACTGCTGGCTCATGGCCGACCTGCCGTCCACCAGGACACGCAGGTTTTGCTTCTGACTTCTTGCTGGCTTAGTCGGCGTTGTGCGAATGGCTTTGCATCATTCTTCTTCGTTATCAGGTCCCGTTGGAGGAGCCAGAGGAGGATGGCGTGCCGCTTCCCAGAGATGCAGAAACGCTGTCCAGGCATCCATGCTCCAGCGCTTGAGAAGACGTGGAGGAAGATGGCGTACCATAAACCAGATAAGCACAGTCCTCATCCAGCCCACAATAATCCAGCATGTGGGAGGGGCTGTAGGAGCATGGGGTACCGGTGCCCAGACTGCCATAATCGTTAGCCAGCCCTCCATGATGCAGCATATGGGAGGAGCTGGAGGAGGATGGGGTGCTGCTACCCTGAGAAACAGGTACATTATGCGGGCAGCCGTGTTCAAGTACAGGCGAGGAGCTGTGTTCGAGTACAGAAGACAAGCTGTGTCCAAGTACAAGAGATCAGCTGTAGGAGGATGGGGAGACAATACTCACACAAATACACAACTTAGCCAGCCCTCCATGATCCAAAACAAGGGAGGAGCTATGAGAGGATCAGGAGACATTGATCAGATAACCAGCATGCTCAGCCAGCTATCCATAACGCAGCACACGGGAGGAGCATTAGGAGGATCGGGAGACACTAGCCAGATATCCACACTCGTTAGCCAGTTCTCCATGATGCAGCTCACAGAAGGAGCTGTAGGAGGATCAGGAGACACTACACAAAGAAATATAGAGCATGGCCAGGCACCCATGATGCAGCACATGGAAGGAGCTGTAGGAGGTCGGGGTGCTGCTACCCCGAGAAACACACACATTATGTGGCCAGCCATGTTAAAGTACAAGAGAGGAGCCATGTTCGAGAACAAGAGAAGAGCTGTAGGAGGATGAGGAGATGCTACTCCATCAAATACAAATCCTAGCCAGCTGCCTGTGCTCCAGCACACGGGAGGAGCTATAGGAGGATTGGGAGATGCTACACCAACAAATACAAAGCTTAGCCAGCCACCCGTGATGCTGCACATGGGAAGAGCTGTAGAAGAATGTGGTGCTGGTACCCCAAGGAAGAGAAATCCTATCCGCCCAGCTGTGTCCCTGTATAAGGAAGGGGCTGGAGGGGGATCTAATGCTGCTAACCAGACAGACACAAACTTTAGCCAGCCACCCATGGTTCTGCACAAGGGTGGAGCAGTAGGAGGATCGGGAGATTCTACTCAGACAAACCTTAGCCAGCCATCTGTGCTCCATAACACAAAAGGAACTGGAGCTGGATGGGGGGGCACTGCTCCGACAAATACAGACCTTAGCCAGCCACCTGTGCTCCAGCACACGGAAAGAGCTGTAAAAGAATTGGGTGATGCTACCCAGATAGACACAAATCCTAGTCAGCCACTCGTGATCCAGCACATGGGAGGCGATGGAGGAGGACGTGTTGTTCGTACCCGGAGAAACACAAACCTTTTCCAGCCAGCCGTGCTGCAGTGCAAAGGAGGATCTACAGGAGGACGGGGCGCTCCTGCAGCCGTTGTGCAGCCTCCTGTGCTCACAAAGAGCTCCTCGGGTGGCAGCCGCGATGGAGGAGGATTCTCTGGTGCCTCCGGTGTTGGAGCAGCAGGCAAGAAAGGCGCGGTGTCCTCGCAGAAAGCGAGCTCTGTGTTAAGCAGTGCAAACCCAGCTGATGACTACAGAGATGAACAGCAGAGACTTTCGTAAGTGACGGCCCTGTCCCCTGGGAAGCGCTCACAACGAGCTGCTTAAGTGCTTACTGGCTTCCTCTGGATAATGGAGAGGATGCGTTCCGGGGGATGGAAGGTGGGACGTGGGGGGACCATAGGAAGCACGGGGGTTTTGTTTCTCTTCCAGACCTGATGTGATTTACTCGCGATAAAACGCTTTGTCGGACATCTGTGTGTCCAGCAGAGCGACTGCTGTGTCTTTCAAGATGGTTGTAGCATTCTTCAGCTGTTCCCTCTGGGCAGCGTCCTATGGAATTCATTGGCGCGGCTTTGTCTATTTGAGTTTGACTTTTGTTTTTTGCCCTGTGGCTTCTGACTGTGTAATTTCTTCTTTTGCTGTCATGTTGTGTTTTCTAGTGACTGGGTAGCAGAAGACATGGCGACCTGGGAATCTTCTGGACAGTGGATATTTTCGTGTTACTCTCCTGAGAAGGGCAAGCCTAATGTTTCAGGTCAGTCCCATTTTTAGCCTTGCTGCGTGCTGCTACTGTTCAGGCTGCATTTCTATACTTGTCCACACTGCTGTGCCTCAATGGAAGCATTGCAAGGTGAGGACGTGCCTTGTGATGCAACAGGTAGGGGCACTGGATTACGGTATTTCTTTGGTGTGTTTGCACCCCTGAAGTTGCACCAGGAGTCCTTCTGTGTCTCCAAGTAGAACTGGCTTGTCCCAGGCGGTGCAGCAAGGGCAGTTTCTTGTGTAACTCTAGAGGGCAATTTTGTGTTTGTGTTGCATTCCCTTTGGAGCATGCTGATTGTTTGCCTCCCTGCAGACTTTCCAGAGATCTCCCCTGAGGAGCTGCGCCTGGGGTATTATACCTGCAGTGCCAAGGAGGGCACAGGACTCTACGTAAGTATTTGGAACAACTGAGCTTTCTGTGACGCGTTCAGGGTAGCAGTGGTTCCTGTTCTTCAGGTGGCCGCTCTTGACTCAGTGAATGCCCAACTCGAGGGGAACGCAAGAACGCCCTCATACGTTCACTTTTCTGTGCAGCGAGTAGAAAACAGCAGGAGCTGCTGGCCTGAAGGCTTTGCCATCACTGAGCAACCTGATGTGGCCATAGGTGTCCCTGTTCAGTGCAGGGGAGTTGGGTCAGATGGCTTTAAAGGTCCCTTCTGACTCAAACAAGTCTATGATTCTCCCTGCCTCTTCCTGATAACTGTGTGGCACAGGCCTCACCAATGATGCAGGTACAAAACGTATTATCCAAAGCAGGAGTTTCTGCTCGTAAAGTGGGGCAAGACCTGAATTGTCCAGTCTGAAATTTCCTTGCAGTAGCTCAGATCACTCTTGTTCCCCCTTTTAAAGAAAGGGGAAAGAGGAAGGGGGAAAGGGGAAAAAGACCCAAATAAGAACAAACCAAAAGCCATGCTTAACAAAAGCATGTTTGTGTTTTCCCACATTTAGATAAACGCTGTCCATCAGTATGTGCAACAATGGAGAAACAGGCTGCAGGAGCTGAAGGCTTTAAATGCCTGGAGAACAGCATTGATGGTAAGTGTTAAGGAAAGATAAAGTACTTCTGTTCCTGATATTGCTTTTCTCTTAAATATCGAGTGAAGGTTTTTCTTAGGATTCCCATTTAGGCAGAGCTCAGGGTTCAGACTTCAGCACAGATGATTGTTCTGCGCTCAGAGAGCAGACTGAGCCAAAGCAGATACAGATAGAGTCATGAAGCAAACTAGAACAAGGGAGAGGAGAATGAGAGCTCCAGGGGTTTTGGTGATTGCAATTACTTTTTGCCCGTCAGTCAACAGATTCCTGCTTCTAGGGTGTTTGCAGACAGTAGCCTGAGAGCGTTTTGTTTAAAGTAGCCATTGCTCGTGGCCAGCGTTTGGTTCAGTTTCTCAGTTACATTCAGTTGGTCGGCACACGTAGGTTTTTGCTTTACGCATGGATTGAAAGATGCTTGCCTGTGTTGGAATGTAGTTTTTATGGATGTATTTGGAACTTTTTCAGCTACTTTGGAGAGAGAAAGTGGTCACTCCACCATCACCTTCTCTTGGATTGGGAGGACAGTAAGCCCCAAGCACTGGGTTCCCAAGTAAGTTTCTGCATAAGGAACCAGTGATTAAACAGGCGTTGATAAGCGTTCTTCTGCAGCACTGAAACGCAGCAGTGTTTCAGTATGGCAGGTGCACCCATCCTCAGCCTTCCTATCCATTTCCTCACTGCAGGCTCTCCAGCCAACAGCAGCAGCGGTGCTGCCCGCTTGTCCTTGCAAATCCCAGCATCTCATCTGGAAGCGCTCCAGCTGTGGGGAGCTCTGCTGCTGCCTCCAGTCCTCCTGCCCTCGGGGTGACGTCCTCCCACAGCTGTCCCCATCCTGTTGGGACTGGGGATGCTGCAGCTCCATCCGCAGCCCGCTCCTCACTTAACGCTCCTGGAACGGCCGCTGGCCGTGGACTTCTGGGCTTCCGGGCCCTGCGAGCCCTGCTGCGGCAAATCCTTCCAGCACCGCTCCGCTTGCTGTCGCTGCTCCCAAGGCAGCTACAGAACCTTCTCACCCGGGTGCAAGCAGTGCTTTGGCCGCACCGACTGCCGGTGCCTCTGCACACAGCACCGCGTCTGCGCCTCCTGCATCCACACGGCATCAGAGCAGGGCAGTCACACACACCGAGGAGGGAACTAACGGCCGGAGAGCTGGAGCAGTTCAGAGCCAAGAAGTTCACACTAGGAAAGGTCCCTGAGACTACCACCAGCAGACCTTTTGTATGATAAGGATTTAAGTTAATTCTGAAGTTATATGCCTTAATTAAATAGAAATAAATATTTATTTACATATGTCTTAATTAAATATAAATAAATATATTATATTATATTATTTACATAATACATAAATAAAAGTTGTTATGTGACTCTTCCAATAAACAATGTTGTGATGGAGCAGTGGGTTGGAATGCTTTTCTGTGACTTAAGTTCTCATTTAATCTCTTCAGTCTTCTGTATAATCAATGATGATCCAGGTGCTATAATTAAGAAACATACAAGAGAGTTTGGCTAAGCAGGTTATGACACCACAAAGAAGAGATGAAGGGCTTACCCTTATCCTGGGCTCATTGGAAAGCTCCCAAGGAGGGATCTCCAGCAGAGACTCTTCCCCGCTGGCAGTCAGATCTCAAATGGGAGAGGCGCAGCCAGGCTCCATCCCTTCCAGCAGCACAGCACATTGCCTTCACTTGTGCTCCCAGGGCTGATCAGCACTCGCCTCAGGTGATCGATCAGAGGTTCAGGCTGTGATTCAGCAGCTCCCATACAGCCTTCACAGTAAGATACCTCGTGGTATCAGCATTTCCAGTGCACTGGTCCTAGGCTCACAGATCCTTGAGCACTGGCCAAGCAGGTGGCTTCTGCCAAATGCTTCTCCCACTGCTTTCGTGTTCCTCCCCCCATTGCCTTCAACATCGTTTTCAACAACCCACTGTACTGTTGGATTTTACCAGCAGCTGGTGCATGCAAGGGAATATGAGATCAGTCCACTCGATGCCAAGATCTTTGGCCCAAGTATTTGCAAGGGAACTTTCAAAATATGGGCCCCAATCTGACTCAATTCTTTCACTGTAGAGAAGACCTAAAATATTCAATCCAGCAACTGTTTTATGTGCACCTATCTATCTATCTATCTATCTATCTGCTCCATTCCATTTCATCTTACCCATAAATCTTGTTAAGCACACACGTAGAAAGCAGGGTTGTTCAGCTGTGCCCTTCCCCAGGTCACTCTGCTCTCCTCAGACCCCCAGGTCTGTCCCAGAAGCATCTTCATTAGCCCTTCCTAGGAAGTGCTGCCTGCTTTTGCAGCACAAATGGACTAGTTCATGGTGAACTCCTGACTTCCTCATGCCCGGAACAACTCCATGGGCCTCCTCAGCCATCTGCACCAACCCTGGATGTTGTTTGTCTCCACAAACAGTACCCCTACCACCGCATCTTCTTTGCAGAGTTATGTTTCCCCATCTCTGACTAAGGGAGTGAATCTGCTCTGGATCTTCTCCTTATACACAGCAAACTGAATGCCAGAGCAGCACCAGAAGGGAGAGTCCAGTTTGTTTTCTGCTCCAAAGCCGCGCTCGGGATACAGCTGGGACTTCTGTGCTTGTTAGCTACAGAGAGGCAGTGTTTTGTTCCAGAAGAGCCACCCAGCTCCACGTTGGGCCAACTTGTCTGACATGAGAACCTGTGACCACCGAGGGTCTGCAGCCCCCCACCGAGGGAGTCCTTTCAAAGGGGTAAGTGGAAAACAGAAAGGCTTCACCTTGTATGTGCCTAAATAGTCAGTTCCACAGCCCTTGAGGCAAGTATTTTAATTTGCTTTCTCTGCCCCACTCTGTAAAATACAAAAATTTTAGAAAAAGCATAGGGAACGTAAATGGATATATGCATGAAAAATTGTCCACACGATGCAAAACAGTGTTAAATGAGTTAAACCAGCTCCTGTAGAGCTCTGTGACGAATATGAAGCAGTAATGATGATGTGGCACTTAGAGGCTGATGTGAGTGTTGTCTGCCCCTATAAAACTGTAATACAAAAGGTGAGCTGTACAACTGGGAGAGAGACTGTGTGTAACTGTAATGCCCATTCTCGTAGTTAAAACACACAAATATTTGGCCAAGAGATCACAGAATTACAGAATCCTCAGAGTTGGAAGGGACCTCTGAAGGTACCACTGTTGGATTTGGGTGTCACAGCTCTCAGCTGACTTCATCCTGGGCTGTTTTCTCAGTAATATGAATGCCAGTGGAGTACTTCAATGAAGTGCTTTTATTCATTTGAAATTGCCCAATGCTAGCTTTGAAACATGATTAAATGATTATTCTGCTTCTCCGTTGTTTTGTACAGCTACACCCTGAAATGCCAAACAAAGCCAGATTTTCGCAAAGAATCCATGAAGTTTGAGCTAGTAGCGTGTCGGCTCAGTAAGAACAAAGCAGTTGGTATCAGAAGACAGAGGCTCAGAGGGGATGTGTGGGTCTGTGAGAGATTGGTGGAAGATGTTTTATCCAGCTGCCAAGTGTGACTGCTGCTCAGAAAGCCACAATGTTGTACTGAGACTTTAATCATCATTTTAGAAAAATCAGTTTGGAAATGTAATTTGTGATCTCCTTCACAGCTGTGTTTGAGAAATCTTGTCAGCTCTTATAGTTTTAACCACCCCCTTTGTGTATATGCCCACTGCACGTTTCCTTTTCTTACAAAAACTCAACTTGTGCTACATGTTCCACAGATGTAACTCAACTGAAATAAAATTCCTTAAACTACCCCCTAGCTCCACTGCCCCATTTTTCATATCTGCTATAAAAAGAAAGTTATTGGTGTTGATATGCTGAGGCTCATTTGTGGTACGATTCCAGTTATCAAGTAGATGTGGTACAGAAATGCATTTGCATAATTCTCTTCTTGTCTCTGTGTAAGTAGGATTTATTGAGATCATTAACTAAGTCACAGCTGTGGATCACAGAGTTGAAATATGTGCTCAGTGCCATACCAAATAGAGCCATCTTCAATAAATAGGAAGTTGAGAGGGCCAAACTATGATCCTATGTAAAACACTGCTACAGCTCATTACTAAGCCTCTGTGATGCCTAAAAACTAAGTGTTCTTTCTGATGCTCTCCTGTTCCCTGGTTGTCATGCTAAGATAATTCAGCACCTTTAAGTTGTGGTGAATGAAGGAAGCATTTCTGTTAGGTTTTACAAGCAGCTGAGAAGGGATGGTGTGACAGTGCACAGAGAGCAGAGTGTGGCGGCCTCCTGCAGCTGCTCCTGCCCCACACCCCTCCTGCCAGGCTGCCTAAGGTCTCTGCCCTAGATGGGGACACAGCCCCCACTTCCCCCTTTGCAACAAAGCTGAGCACATAACCTAGAGAAGCGCAGACCCCTGAGGAGTCCTTGGCCAGATCACCCTGTCTATGCTCTCAGATGGTTTCCATCGCTTACTCACTGACTTATTGCCCTTAATGGCCAGGTACACCTAGAGAGGACTCTCCCACAGCTCTCCAAGTGCTATTAGCTTTGCTGAGTGTAAGAGGCAAGCACTGACCCTAGGTTAATACAAGTAACTTCTGAGATCTAGGAAGGAAACATCGGAGTTGGTAGAGCTGTTAGGATATCCCTCACAAAACAGTACATCTCCAAACTTGACTTTTTCTGTTATGCAATTATACCTTTAGCCTGCGTCAGGAATGTGTGATGAGAATGTGAGCACCACCAACCACACTGATATCCAACTAAGCATCAGTGTCAGAGGGCAGTTCTGTTGGAGCTTTTCTGCACACAAATGCCCACCTACACCTAGATAGGGGCTATGGCTCACAGCACTGTGCTGCAGGTTTTCCTTCATGAAAGAAACTGTGAGTCTGTTCTGTACGTGAGCCACATTATGGTCTCTTTCCTGGATGACACTTTCGCATCCGGAAGCTACTTACAGGAGCTACAACGATCCACAGCCCTTAATGCATGAACCAGAAGGATATATTCATCAGAATGGCTGACTAAGGTAGAAGTCTCCATCACTTCTTTCTAATTTTAAGTTACCACTCTGCTGCTCTTCAGGCAGGGGAAGAATTGGGAATGTTTTCAATGAATTTCAAGGGTTAAAAAGGTTACTAAATTTTTTCTGTTTCTGGTCCAGAACTCTTCAGATGCAAAATGACATAAATGAGGAACACTTTGCAGGACACAAACCTGACCAACAAGTGCAAGGAAAGTGTGAGCCCAGCCTGGTCAATGGCTTTAACTGACAGGTGTGCATAGAATGTGTGCCCGTGGTCCAGGCCTGATTCCACCTGGTTCCATGACTGATGGGATGGGGGCCCACAGACCCAGGCCTTGAGATGGGACTAAAAAAACACAGCAGCAATGAGGTTTAAGTCCCTTAAACTTTAATGCAAACAGTGATTGCCACAGAGTGAGATTTTACAGGTGGTACGACCAGCACAAGGGTTGAGCTTGATAATAACTGATTAAATTTTAAAAAAGGATAATAAATTGAGTTTGATAATTGTTGACAAAGTGTACATAACATACAGTTCCAAAAAATTAAAGTTTCGTATCAGTGCTTAAACAACTTCTGTGCACGACCCCTCCGGCTGCAATATTAGGCCTCTGTCTGGCTTTCAGATGTTGAAATTTAAGCCTCCTAAATATCAGAAATCAGCTGACGATGCCAGCACTGCAGCTGAGGGCTGTAACTGGCCCATAGCTGTGCAAGCTCTGATTTCTGCTTGCTTGCTCTGCTTTCTGGCACGAACACAAACCTCTCCCAAGAGTTCAGATTCTCCCTGAGACTTGATCCGAGTTGCTCTAAGCCTAGAAAATGGGAGAGCTGGCTGAATGTGGCATATTGAAAACAGCCTCCTTAATGCCTAGCAGAGCAATGCCATGTGTATCTTAGAGCACTAATCCCAAGTGGTTGAATAATTGAAATTTTTGCTTGTTTCAACATTCCCTGAGTTTTAATTTAAGAATTTAATACAAAAATAACCTTACATTTTTAGTGTATTTTGTTTTTTGGCTAATGTTTCTTGCTGTGAATGAATGACCACTGGTGGTAGGAACCAGCAGAATGGGTGACAAGCAAGATTCACTTGTGGGTTGTTTTGAAGCTCAACTACACCCATGGTGATAGATTATTTTGTTGTTGTTTCTATACTGAGAATTCTGGAATTTCTTGTGTCAGCTTATCACAGGTAGAACTGGGAGGGAGAAGAAACTGTGGGGATTAAGACTTGTGTGTGTGCCAAGCTTATGGAAGTACCCACACACAGGGTCAGAATGTGTGTTCTGCTTCACTGAGCTCT